GATTGATTAGTATATAAACAGTGTATGTTTGAAATACATGATTCGTGTCTCATTGACTCAGATCGGTGTTCTGGACTTAACTGGCTGGGCTAGACAGGCAGCGAGACCAATCAGGACTCTAGGCTGCTCGTAAGAGTTTTACGCGTCATTAGTCCGATCGGTAAGTCTTTGCTCTGTAATCCGCGGTCACAATTTATAACACATCCATACTTAACAGACTTACTAATAGCGAAAAAGGAATAGGCAGCAACTCAAGATAAGGGTTTATCTCTTCACGTGATATCTATAGATTTTAGCAAAGCAATTGATAAGGTTTCTCACTTGTGCTCTAGAGCTTTGGAATAACAGGTACCGTACGAGAGTGAATAAGAAACTTTCTCTGTGATCGAGGACAAAGGGCGAGGGTGAATGGGACACTATATGAATGGAAGCAGGTCAAAAGTGATGTACTCTGAGACACCATTTTAAGTCCACTGTTATTCTTCTCTGTGACGGTCAACCACCACGACTGCTTAAGTTAGCGACTTTATCATTTGCCGATGATGTTAAAATTGTGGCGAACAACAAATAGTGAGATTGATCATCTTGGTCTCCAACCTGAACTAGCAGTAAGGTGGTCTCGAATTATGGACTTGGAAATTATTGAGTAGTGTTCTAATGCAAACCGGACATGGCAATAATTAACACGATACTATTGTAGCGTGATGTCGAGTTGAGCTTGACTATGAACACCGCTACAAGACTACGTGTCAGTAAACCAATAAGATTCCCGTAGGCCAGAATCGGAAGACAGATGACGGCTGTAGTCGAGATATATTTGATGGCGATCTCGTGGTATCGAAAGAATACCGAGATCTAGCCAATGGAGTACAAGCGTGGTTACTGAGCGTAACCGAGTTCAAAGTCAACGGGAAAGTATAATGGCTGTCATTAGCATAGTTAAACAAACGAGCACAGTAAAACAGTCACTGGTACAATTGGTTATAGTAATAATTGTTTTCAACGAACCAGTCGCGTTCTGTTGACAAAAGTAGGTCACTACAGGAGACCCCGCTAGAAAGGGTTTACACTTTCGATAGTTAGAGGTTTGATTCATGGGACTGATCGGCTGACGAGCGATTGTAGGACGGAATAATTGGCGGAACAGGAAGTGATCGTTGATCCTCGTGTTTCCAACGAAGGTCTTTTGCGAAGAACGGTACCAGGAGAAGTGTGCTGTATTTGTTGGTCGAATTACCATACCACACCAGAGTGGTTTGTATTCAGGATCTGATGACTGCGTTCGTAGGGATGCGGACCAGAAAAACGCTGCAGACGTAGGACGAAACCACGTTGAGCCAAGAAACCGGAAGCGGCCACAAAGACCAAGCGCGAAACCAAACGTATGCCATACGGATTCGAAACCAGAATATCGACTGAGTGTGTTGACTAGAGCATGGGTGACCAAACCAGCTTTTGCCAAAGTTGACTGAAGTCGACGTTACCAAACGGGCGATGGTCGGAGACGTGGGCTCAGGATACAAAAAAATCAAAAAAGAGAAAAGTGTAGCATGCGCGTAGTGTAGGAATAGTCCTACACCGCATCCAATGTTGACTGTGCGGTTAGTCGCGAAAGCGTACGGGTAATCGTACCCGGCGACCGGAACGTGAAACGATGGTCTCGTTCGTACTTCGTGAGCCTGCGATCTCATTCGAGGTCAAGGGCGGCGTGGTCTGCCAATCTGGACGTGAGACGGAAGTCTCGTCCGTAGATGGTGCAGATGGCGCGTGCTGTTGACCGGGACGTGAGAACAAGGTCTCTGATGTATCTAGCGTGGGATCCGAGGTAGACATAGAGATCCCGCTAGAAGGTTTGATAGGTCTAGCATTGAGTCCGAAGTTATCGGGTAGGGCACTGTCATCGACGTGTGCTGGTTTGAGATGATCAATGCTGACGATCTCGACGCGGCCATGTCGATCAACCTTGAAGGTCTTTTCGTGACGAGAGATCACGTGAAAAAGGCCTTCGTAAGGCTGTTGCAGAGGTTTGCGTACCGAATCTACTCGTATGAAAACATGTGAACAGGTAGATAACTCTTGAGGGAGAGCGACCTGTCGATGTTGTATTCCAGTTGACACCGGAGACAGCGATTGCATAAATGCAGACAGTCGATGGACGTAGTCTGATTTACCGAAATTATTACTGTTCCGTGGTGTGAAGAATTCCCCAGGCAGACGCAATGTCGTGCCGTATACAAGTTCAGCGGCGGAACATTGAATATCTGCCTTCAAACTCGTTCTGATGCCTAAGAGAACGAGCGGTAAGGTTTCGTACCAATTATCTTTTTCGTAAGCTCGAAGAGCGCTTTTAAGTTGGCAATGAAACCTTTCGACTAAACCATTCGATGCTGGATGGTAGGCGGTAGTGGGTATGCGTTCCGTACCAAGCAGCCGGGTCATTGAGGAGAATAATGCGGACTCAAATTGTTGTCCTCGGTCAGTCGTGACAGTCGAGGGACAACCGTACAATGCTATCCATCGTTCTACGAAGCGGTGAGCAACTGTCTCCGCCGTAATAGACGTGATGGGAATAGCTTCGGGCCATCTTGTAAAACGGTCAATGCATGTGAGTATGTGATCATACCCATGCAATGGTGGCAATGGTCCTACAATGTCTATGTGAACGTGATCAAAGCTAGCATCAGGCGTAGCAAACGTGCCAATGGGGGTAGCTACGTGTCTGTGCACTTTTGATCGTTGACACTGTAAGCATTGCTTTACCCACATACGAACATCTTTATCCATGGACGGCCAGACGTATGGTGCAGCGATGAGACGTAATGTGGCTGCGATACCTGGATGAGACAATCCATGAAGGGCATCGAAGACGAGACGGCGATAGGTAGAGGGTACGATGGGTCGAGGAAGACCGGTAGAAATATCACATAGGATAGTACCTGAGCTAGTAGCAAGGGGTACTTCCTGACACCGAAGCGACGAAGATTGTGGTGCTTTTGTAGAGACAGGATCGTTTGCTTGTGCGGCGGCCATAGCAGGAAGATCGAGCACCGGTAAGGTAACTGCATTCATCTGGATACGTGATAGAGCATCGGCAACATAGTTCGACTCGCCTTTAATGTGACGAAGGTCTGTCGTGAACTGGGAGATATAGTCCAAATGTCTGCACTCTCGTGGTGAGTAGCGGTCAGACTTGGCATGCAGGGCATACGTTAGGGGCTTATGGTCGGTGAATAAAATGAATTGGCGTCCTTCTACTGCGTGCCGGAAATGTTTGATGAAGCAGTAGGCTGCAAGCAGCTCGCGACCAAAAGCGCTATATCTCGTCTCCGTGGGAGTAAGGCGTCGTGAGTAAAATTCAAGCGGTTGCCAACTACCGGAGATATTCTGTTGCATGACGGCTCATATAGCGAAATCTGATGCATCAACCGCTATACTAAGCGTGGCTGATGGGTCAGGATGAGCGAGAAGTGTAACTTCAGCGAGAGCCGTTTTGATCTCTGAGAATGCAGTACGTGCGGTATCGTTCAATTCTAATTTGCGTGGATTACCGCGTAGTAAATCGGTTAATGGTCGTAACCGTTCTGCCGCGTGAGGGATGTAACGTCGGTAGAAGTTAACCAAGCCGAGAAAAGCCTTCAGTTCCTTGATTGAGGATGGCACGTTGTACTCCTTGATTGCTCAAACTTTGTCCTCGCAAGGTAGAATACCCTCTTGTCTGATGATGTGACCCAGAAATATTATTTCTGATTAACCCGATTCAAATTTGTCTGGGTTGACTACTTTTCCGTTATTCAAGAGGCGTTGGAATAATAGTGTAAGATGTTGATAATGTTCATCTACGTTTGATGATGCGATTATCAGGTCATCAATATAGACGTGAACAAAATCCAAGTCTCGTACTATGCTATCGATAAACCTTTGGAGAGTTTGAGCAGCATTCCGTAATCCAAATGGCATTCGTAGGAACTCAAACAGACCGAAAGGAGTCGTGATAGCAGCTTTTTCGATGTCTTCAAGAGCGACTGGGATCTGGTAATATGCTCGTACCAGATAGATAGATAGTCGTGCCCTTGAGCGATGCTTTGATGTCGTGTATGTGAGGGATGGGGTGGCTATCAAAGCGCGAAACTACGTTTAAAGTTCGGTAGTCGCCGCATGGTCGCCAACTAACCCCATCCTTTTTGCGCACCATATGAAGAGGAGAAGCCCAGAGACTATGAGAAGGACGAATAAACTGTCAAACTCACGTTTAGCAAAAGCTAATTTGTCCGGTGCCAGTCGGAGTGGTCTTGCCGTGACTGGTTGTCCGCGGGTGGTGTACCACACGATTGATCACCGATGAAATCTCCTCGAGTGGTTTAGTTAATCTGGGGAATTTTTCGAATAAAGCGTGGAAGTTATCGTCACGCGAATAAAAAGTGCCGAGAATCGGTACGCGTACATCGGAGTCTATTATATTAATATTATTCTTATCGTTATCCGTCATGTCGAGTATATTATATATTAAAAAATCAATATGAAAATATACGACAGACGTGGATAGATAAACAATAGACTCACGTCAATTTGGCGATACTAACTCAGCGTGACTGAAGAGAGTTAGTGGAATGTCTTACAAAACTTCCATATTCATATCGCAGGACATGAAGTGACGTCATGTTGACATTCCGCATCTTCGATAACGATTTGGATGTTGATGTGCTCTCTCTAGAATTAACCGTCTCTGAGGCCTTAGAAAGTAAGTTAAACAACTATAATCAAATAAACTTAGTGTAGGGGTTCTGTTTTATGCATCATGTAGTCAGTTACTCGAAATCCTCACCCGAACAAGTGGTATTAGCCACATCAATAAACATTTTCAAGGAGGAGCTGGATCTTTACTGAAAAACAGGTTTCAAGGGTTAACACAGATCAACCGACTTACCGTCCTTATTATTGAAGTCTGAAGACTAAAGCAGTTGACAATACCCTGTACAACATATGTTTAAACTAATATTTACCCCTTCATGGAAGTATAATAAGGGAAATAAAGTGATAACAAGCATGTACAACTCTAACCGTTACTGAGGTATTTGTTTGCATAGCTTTTATACTAGTTGGCGCTGCCGTTTCAGGTGGCGGTAGTTTCGTTGATCATTGCCATAATGAGTTTTCTTAGGTCCTTATGTAATGTGTCAAAGTTCCTGAGGCCTACTTCAAATTTATCACAGTTTTGCTCATCTACACTTATCAGCCAAAGTATGTTGCATATTTCTTGATTTGTGTTTCCACTAAAGAGCGTCGATATGCTGTAGAGGCCAAACCAGCAGCAACCACTGCAGCGTCAACTGGACGTGTTGTTGCAGTTATTGGGGCAGTTGTGGATGTACAGTTCGATGAAAATCTGCCACCTATTTTGAATGCCTTGGAAGTAAAAGGCCGTACTCCTCGCCTTATACTTGAGATTGCTCAACATCTTGGTGAGAACACTGTGCGCACAATAGCTATGGATGGTACCGAAGGTCTAGTTCGCGGCCAGCAGTGTGTTGATACTGGAGGTCCTATTCGTATTCCTGTTGGTCCTGAGACCCTTGGTCGTATCATGAACGTTATCGGGGAACCAATCGATGAGAGAGGGCCCATCAAAACGAAAATGATGTCGGGTATTCACCAGGATGCTCCAGATTTCATTGAAATGAGTACTGAGCAAGAAATTTTGGAGACAGGCATCAAAGTTGTAGACTTGCTGGCTCCTTACGTGAAGGGAGGAAAAATCGGTTCGTTCAATAAGTAGCTTTCTAAACATAATATAGGTCTTTTCGGTGGTGCTGGGGTTGGTAAAACTGTACTAATTATGGAGCTTATCAATAATATTGCCAGAGCTCACGGAGGTTACTCTGTGTTTGCTGGTGTTGGTGAGCGTACTCGAGAAGGCAATGATTTATATCACGAAATGATAACAACTGGTGTGATTGACCTTAAAGGAAACAATTCTAAGGTTAGTTCTTTTTCAAATAAAATTACTGTCCTTAGGTGTCTCTGGTGTACGGGCAAATGAATGAACCACCAGGAGCGCGTGCTCGGGTCGCTCTGACGGGTTTGACAGTTGCTGAGTACTTCCGTGACCAAGAGGGACAAGATGTGTTGCTTTTTGTCGATAACATTTTCAGATTTACTCAAGCAGGATCTGAGGTGTCTGCGCTGTTAGGTCGTATTCCCAGTGCTGTAGGTTATCAGCCTACACTCGCCACTGACATGGGTAGTATGCAAGAACGTATCACTTCAACGAGAAAAGGATCTATCACGTCTGTGCAGGCTATTTATGTTCCTGCCGATGACCTGACTGATCCCGCTCCTGCTACCACATTCGCTCACTTAGATGCTACCACTGTCCTAAGTCGTGCAATTGCTGAATTAGGTATCTACCCTGCCGTCGACCCTCTTGATTCTAACAGCCGTATTCTGGATCCTAACATTGTTGGTGAAGAACATTACTCCGTCGCTCGTGGTGTACAAAAGATACTTCAGGTTTGTAATCTGTGTCATATCTATATGTTGTTTAGGAAAATCGCTCTCTGCAAGATATCATCGCTATTTTGGGTATGGATGAACTGTCAGAAGAAGACAGGTTGACAGTTTCCCGTGCCAGAAAAATTCAGAGGTTTTTAAGTCAACCCTTCCAAGTAGCAGAAGTGTTTATCGGTCGCGAAGGCAAATTAGTGTCTCTGAAAGATTCTATTAAAGGTTTCAAGATGATTATCAACGGTATGGTCTTTTTGGTATTATCTAATCTATTGTTCTAGGTGAATTAGATCATATACCTGAGGCTGCATTTTTCATGGTTGGAGGAATTGAAGATGTGTTGGAGAAAGCAGAACAGTTGGCAAAAGAAAGCGCATAAATGCCGTTCACCAGACAATATATTGAGTAGTTAGCTGTAAATCCAATAAGCAAATGTTCATTTAAAAAATGACTTGAACTTGATCATAGGATTTTGTTACTTATTTTCAAGAGGTTTTTTAACGCCTTAGTCAAAAATACAGAATAGTTATCACATGATATTATCTTACTGTCACATAACATTAATCTCAGTCTAATAAGTCAAAAGTATGTACTGATACAAAGATTACAACAGCTTCATGATCAAATTACTTGAGATAGAACGATGTTCCGAATTTTTCCCAGTTGTAGCTCTTTCATAATATACTGGATATTGAGAGGATGTAGTCAACATTTGCACGCCTTGTACCTGGCAGAGATCAAATTGTCGCAGCAAAATATCTACCATTGATCGAGGGAATCTCTGAGGTTTTGTCAAGTATAGATCGAAACAGTTCACGGATTCGATTAGTAAAAATGGTCATCGACAGTCATCAGTTATCAGGAAAGCAAATGGAGAGCTATATATGTTAAGCGTCAGTATACTCTTTTATACGGCGTCTTCTATTTTCTAGTTTCTCTTACATTGTGTATTCTCTTAGCGATTGAGGTTTAATTTAAAATGTGCTCTAGAGCGGAACGTTTGTGCTTTATTGACAAACTCGTGCTACGTATCGTCAGAAATTTTAGTGGAAAATCGGCCTGGTCGTTTGTTGCTTTTCTGTTGTGTGCTGCTGAGACGGTCCCCCATTCTATGCAGAAGGTTGTATGGATACAGACGACCTGGTTTAATTACCTTAAAATGACATTCCTGTAGTAAAATATCGAGTTAACCCAAATATCCCTCTTCGCGAAATGTAAGCTATTACTTGGGTGTAAAAACTATGACCAGATTTCACAAGTCAGGGCTTATTATTGTTGTAAGCAGTAAAATCTTAGTAAATTTCGATTATTTATGTTGTGTCTTCCTAGGTTTGCCACCCATACTTTACATATCTCATTGATTTTTTAAAAATCCGATCAAGCGGCTAGAAGGTCATATCTCTTGTAGTCGAGTAATCACTGCAGTTACATTGCTTGAAAATCAACTTGGGTATCCTATAGAAACCAATTCATGTAAAATCGTTGGTTGTGGTCTGTAGTTTGTGGTGTATGTTTAGGGTTTACTGATGGCGAATAATAGTCAAGTATACATTTATATATTTTGATAACCACATTATCATACGAAAGCTTTGCACATACAATGGCGTTTGTGAATAGCTGACTAGATCGGCGGTGTTTTCTATAAATGCCCTAACACTAATAAGTGGCGTAAGGTCGAGATTCATGATTTAGTATCTAGAGCCTACTTGCTCAAACTATTGATTTGTATTTCTACTCCACATCTGTTAGCATTTTAAGGTCATGGGAGTTGGTAGCCTCAGTTTGGTGTCTGCATTAGGTCACCTCGGTCAGGGCTTAGAATGATATTGTGCTTTAGGTAGTTGCCAATTAATTTATTTGGTAAATGTTAAGATGGACGGTAAAGTAAATTTGTATCTAGGGCATGCAAATCAGTTACTAAATTTTCGTATCTCGATTACTCTTTTCTGGGTTTTGCACGTACATAGATGCAGATACAGATTGACGAAAAGGCGTGATACAGTCATTCGAACGCCGTTCGTATTTTGGGCATGGGTGTTTCTTAACATTAGGAAACATAACTATATACTGTTTTCTAACTTATTGGTTCATACAACTCTTACTGAATACAGACTTATGAGGTCATCATTAAGTCAGTACTGATACTTAGATGTCCGGACCGAAGTAGGTGGAGTAGGGTTAGGACCTGTGATCTAATGACTGAATGTTAAGTGTTCTATCCACTAAGACATTGACTAGTTAGATATCTGGTTCTAGCTTCCGCATGAATATTGTCTTATTTAGAGAAGCATAATATGGACGCTATTAAAGTCTTGGTTTGTAATCATACATAATTTTCATTAAATAAGCTTAAACCGAACAAGGGAAAGATTTGCGGTCGTAGCATTTCAGTTCATCTGTGAAGGGACGAACGTGTGCGTAAAATGCGTTTGTTATTCAAATTAAAAGCTCAAGATTAACATGAGTAGTCATAAAAATATGTTTTGGGACCAGGTTGTTTGATACTTAACGACACAACAGCCGAAGTAACCAGGGTTCCAAAATATTGACTTCATTAACTTCAAGGGTCTTTGTCCTGTATCTGCCTTCATGCTAATAATTTTCCAAACGGTCTTTTTTGTAATTACATGGTAACTGCGATTATCATTCTTCAACTACATCTCACCTGGGTACTTCGCTATGATCAATTGCAAACTCTCGTAAAACTGATCTTTATTGTCATCATTGCTATAATTTGTGGGTGCATAACTTTGGATAACATTCGTCGTGATTCTCTCCTTTTTGAAAGATGCTTCGATGCTCCTCAGTCTGTGATATTTCTATCCTATAAGTTATATACGCGCTTTTTTGGACAGCATCAGAGCAACTCCTTGAATGTACGAATCATTTTCTTGTTCGTGATTCGAATACAGCAACATCTCTCACGAATCAAGGTGAAATTGAATAAAATATCATACTAAATATAAGACAAATATGACACTGAGTATTCATTACATTAAGTTTAAAAAGAAACAAAACGGAAGTAATGTTAATCTGAGGACGGTCCACGGGTGAACTCGAAGAAGCTCAGAAAGAGTCGAAGATATTCCATACAATCATCTTTTGGGAGAATATTCCAATTCCTACATGTAGCTTCCTTAATGAGCAAATGCTAATAACCCACTGTGTGCTGATTGGTTAACTTTGATGATGATTTCGATTTTACTAAAAATCATAGATACTTGAAAGTCTTGTACCATAATTGACACTGTTTGGAATAACATTCCTTTCAGTTATCTTCTGTCTTCTCATTTGCGACTTGAAAGTGTTCTAGTATTGATTGCTCGAGTTATACGCGGAATAGTAAGAATCTAAGCTCTAGATATAACAAATAGCGACAGGGACGGGACTCGAACCTATGTAGGGAAATCCCAATAATCATTATAAGATATATGGTTTTACTTTTTTTAAACCTGTCATATCAACTAGTAACTTTGCAAAATGAACAGATTCAATACTTGATTCGAAAGTACATTATTGTAATGTTTAAAACAATATTGAATTT